GGTTAGAGTTAGGTTAGTGTTTATTAGGGTTAGTTAGGAATTGTTAGGGTTTGTTAGGATTAGTTAGGGTTAGGTGATGATACTGGTATCCCTCGGTATGAATAAATATATTCTTTATTAAAAATATTTTAATAGTAAATAATTGGTTAATTTCTCTATATGCAAAAAAACCTGTATTATGAGCTGAAACCTGGTCTTATTTTTTTTTATAGATTATACATAATAAAAGGAGTGTTTGTGCCAAGTTTCAGGTTTCAGCCTTGTGTATTCAGCTTCGGTCATCAATTTTTATCCGATGATCGGCCGAAATTTCAAATTATCACATATTAATAATTTAAAATATAAAAAATAAAAATTATCTGAAAAACAATTTAACTCAAAGTTATGTAACAATAAAATGTCACATTTTAACTTATATTATTTAGGCATTTACTTTTATCACATACTTTTTTAGAATTTTAATGGTTTTTAACGAAAAGTAATATGTGATCGTCAAATGATCGACAAAGTGATATAAAGCATGTCCGCTATGCTGTTGTACGCGGTATGTATTTTTTAAAAGAAAAAAATGCTGTGGCGAATAGCGTGGCAAGACATTTGTATGATTGGTCAAGGAAATAAATCTTTTTAATAAAAATGTGTGTTATTATCTGTTGCATTTTACGTTATACAAATATACAAAAATGGAATCTTATACTTGATTTTACTGGAACGGGAAGACAAATTTTCCTTTTTGAAATTGTGTAATGTTACGCTATTAATCATTTTATTCATACGTATATTCTAAACGTCACCGTTACACAAGTATTTTTTTTATTATAAGATTAATGGTTTTTTTTTAAATTAATAAAAATAAAATACAATAAAATATTTAAAAATTTATTATTAATCTTTAAATAAGAAGTATAATTTAACAATTTTTTTTGAAATAAATACGGTTAATAAGGATACTAATTTAAACGGTTAATCTTTGGAGTAGGAAAAATGAAAAAATTTTTAGTATTAGCAGTTTTGCACGAAAATATTTTCGATATTACCAGAATCATCTATTAAATTTCTTGTAAATGTACGCATATTGTATCAAATTTATTTAGTAAAAAGACATGTGTTAACACGAAATAATGAATATGTAGATATATTTAGATTATTTAATTGATTGTAAATGAGTAAATTTATTTTTATCTGTAGTTAAACATATTAAAAAGAGACCATCATCATTTGACTAATAAAACGTAACTAGAAATTCGAAGAATGTTTCTTTTGTAGCTTAAAATTGATTAAAAGAAAAACATAGCATACATTTAAACGAGCTTAATATCATTTTTTTAAATATTGCATAAAAATAAACTTAATATTCTACATAATTTACATATAATTCGTGCTTAAATCTTAAAAAATTGCTTAAAGGTTTGCTTAAAATTGATTAAAAGAAAAATATAGCATATATAAACGAGCTTAATGATATATGATTTACATATTATTCGTGCTTAGATCTTAAAAAATTACTTAGAAGTTATGGGTTAATAAGTTGGGATAAAAAATGGAAATCATTACTTCGATGACATTTAAGTTATGAAGTCGGTCGTTAGGCGGGTTATATGAATCGAAATGATTTAGAAAATTGTCCAAGATCGATTCATCGTTCGAATTTTGATCGACTGGTGCAATTCTCGTGAAATTTAATGTAGTTACCCCAGACGAATTTTTCGAAAGGATCATCTGGGGAATTGTGGCAGAAAATTCCCAGGGCTTATTAGAAGAAGCCGAATGTCCTTCATTATTATCGTTTGTTCTGCCCATTAGTTCCTTATTTATCAGGACACAAATTTGTGACAAAATTTCAAAAATTTGCTTTGTCTCTTTATTAACGAGCTTCCATTTTTCCGACGTTATTTTCGAAATATCTGCGAGCGTTGCTTGAGGAAATTGAGTTATGATACTCGGTCGTATGAATCGTTTATATAACATGAATTTGTTCAACGGCCTTTGGCATGGCTCTAACAATTCATCTAGACGGGATTTTATCGACGAATCCATCTCTATTTGGGCTAGTATATATACATATTTGTTAACGACTCGGTTTATTTTCATTTGATCATAAGTGATATTGACCTTCGGCATTGTGGAATAATACGAGAATCGAAAAAGAAGGAAATAGTTAAAAGTTTAATAGACTTAAAGTTCTAACCTTTCATCAAATGCCTTCAATTTATACTTTTGAATTAGTAGAATATTTAGCACGTAAAAGGAGATCAGTTAACATGTGCAATAAATTTTTTTTCGAATTATTAATTTAATTTAACGTGTGCGATCTTTATTTCCTTCATATCTTTTTTTGCTAACAATAATAGCAAGTTTCAATTTGTTCATTTTACACTTTCACGGAAATGGTCGTGCATCATGGATAAATAGAAGTAAGTGGTTCATTTATAAAATTAAAGGTTATTTTGGACAAAATATAATATATTATAATATAAAAGTTATTTAATTTAAACTATAGTGCGTTAATTTTTACATAATTAAATTACCAAATAAGGACTTACTATGATAAAGTT